AGGCAGAGGCAGGCGGATCTCTGTGAGTTCGAGGCCAGCCTGGTCTACAAGAGCTAGTTCCAGGACAGCCTCCAAAGCCACAGAGAAACCCTGTCTCGAAAAACCAAAAAAAAAAAAAAAAATCATCAAACAGAAAATGGCTTCAATTAGGCTAATGATCCTCAGGACCCAGTATTTACTGCTTAGCAAAGATAAAGATTTATAAATAACTTTAAAATGGGGGAATGAAGTTGAAAGACCCCCAGAGTGGGGAGACCCTCACTCAAGTCTTGGGATAAGCCGATGCCCCAGTAATTCACACGAGGTTTATTCGGGGAACCAGTGCACTGGGGCTGAGCTCATGACCCTCGCAGGGGCAAAGGAGATCGACCCCTAGTACCTGCAGTCGGGAGTTTTTAAAAGGGAAAAACCGAATCTGGGAGTTAGGCAAACATCATAAAGGATGAGAAGTTACATGATAGCTTATGTCTTAACAGGAAGGTTATCTCAAGCAAGCATTCTTTGGGCAAAAAACAGTTAAACATTGAGCAGGAATGTGGTGAGCTAGTTCCTGGATCAGGGAGGGTTATCTTTTAAGTTTATCTTGAGGTCTCCAGTTTCTCAGGAGAGGGCAGAAGGGCAAGTCACTCTGTGATGGGCTAGTCACTAGGGTCTAAAAATGTTGAGTTGGGATCTCTCAAAGTGACTGTCTGACTCCATGTGGTGTTTGCTGAGGTAGTTTTCAGCTCTCTGTCCTCCTGCCAACAGCCACATCTGCCTTAACACCTTTGAGGATTTTGTGGCCTTGACCGTGGTCCATATATGTTAACCACAACCAATGATAGGGTCTCTGCCAGGGATGAGCATTTCAAGGTTATTCTGGCCCTCGTCTAACTTTGACCGCCATTCTTGTCCCTCCTCAGACCTTCCTGCAGGCTGTGCTGCTTACAGGGACCCCCACATCTGGCACCCAACGTGAGGCTCCATCCTGGGAAAAGGTAAGAACATTTTCTTTAAGTAGAAATCAGGGGTTCAGGAAACTCAGTCTCTCACCCAAGGACTCACAACTGTACAGGTTCTTCTCAGTCCTTAGAGACAAAGCATTTTGTGCAGTTATTAAGACATTTGTTAAGATCCAGAGGAACAAAATATCCACAGCAGCAGTTAACATAGGAACTAATGTAAAGAGAGCCCATGAAAGGAGAGATAAAAATTCCTATCAATTATCTTTTTAAAGGGAGAGAAAAAATTTTCTGCCAGACATATCTTGGCCAGTCTTGGCAGGGTGGGCTGAAGTGAGCTCAGAAGCCACCCTTGCTTCCCAGTTCCCAAGCAAGGCATGTTGTGGGTTTTGTCTTTTAAAATTCTATTTCCGAAATTCTGAGTTCAAGGCCAGCCTGGTATAGAGAGCAAGTGCCAGGACAGCCATGGCTACAGTGAGAAACCCTGTCTCTAAACAAAATAAAAACGCATAACCCCTCCCTGAACTTGAGCATCAAGACACCTTGCAGACACTTAAGCCTGGCCACCAATAAAAAAGGGCTTAAAGCTTTTTATTGATTCGCTTAATTAGTGTGGTTGTCAATAACTATCAAGTGTGGATCACTACAGGCACACTCCTCTAATCTCAACACTCAGGAGGCAGAGGCAGGGAGATCTCTGAGTTGAAGACAAACCTGGTTTACATAGCAAGTTTCATGCCAGCCAGGGCTACATAGAGACCCTGTCTCAAAAAGATGTTTTTGAATTAAAAAAATAAAAATACAATAATTTTTTAAAATTTTGTTTTTTTCAAGTCAGGGTATCTTTGTGTAACAGTTCTGACTGTCCTGAAACTCTGCTTTGTAGACCAGGCTGGCCTCAAACTCACAGAGATCTGCCTGTCTCTGCCCCCACAGTACTGGGACTAAAGATGTGTGCCATGACAGCCTGGCTCAAAAAAAAAAAATTAAAGGAGGACAAGTTAGGAAACATCGGTGGTCACCATTCAAACTTCAAATGCACATCATATACCAACCAAGTTACATAGTTCCAAATATAGAAATGTGTGGAGGGCACAAGGTTCATATGCTCATGGATAGTACCAGAGAAACCAGAATTGTTAACCACAGGCTTTTTTCTTCAACAGAAGAAATAACCCGGTGACCTTTCCTGTTCTATAAAGCCTCCTTACCCAGAATTCCTCAGATTACCGAGCATTGATTTTTAGTCAATACAGCCCATCCTTATGCTTATCACACAGCCTTCCTCCCTAGGCCCTTATCCTGAGTATTATTTCTGTCTATAGACCCCATTCTTGTGGAAAAGGTCAGAGGTGCTCTGCAAAAGACACTTTGTAAGGGAGTTTCAATATAGTTATGTCTTAAGCTTTGTTGTGATAATTATCAGGAAGAAACTTTTCCCAAGGTTTTACTGTTTAAATACATAAAAATTAAATAAACAGCCTGGTGTCAGACTCCAGAAGTTTGAACTAGCCCAACTATTTTGAACCAAGGTCCTCTGCAAAGCATTTCATTGCCACCGTGACCCTTGCAGGGACCCCTACAAAAATGAAGCTATTTGTACAATCTTGATGGTGACAAACTGAAATTCCTACAAAGTTAATCTCTGATTGACGGTCTCTTAGGAAAATGTGCCATTATTTTTTGTATGAGTACTACTCTTGTATACTTTATGATAAAGCCCCATGACCAGGGCAACTTAAAGAAGAATTTTATTTGGGCTTATGGTTCCAGAGGAATCAGTGTCCATCATGGCGGGGGGAACTATACAGCAAGGCAGCAGGCGTGGGCCGGGAGAGCTCACATCCAGAACCTGACCAGCAAGTGAGCCCTGTCATGTTCCATCTGTATTAGCGCCACACTGCAGGGACTATTTACCTCGGACTGATGTCTTTGGGGCTGCGATCAGAACCAGTGGAACAGCCCCGGGTCCAACTCTGAGTAGAGGAGTGTGGGCGTGGGATATGCTAACTGTCCAACAGCATTAGAGATGAGACAGAGACATCTGGTCATAGCAGGAGGACTCCCAGTAAATACTGAAGACCATGGTTTATTGAAACATCATCCTAAGTTACCATCCAAAAGTGAGGATGATGGCAGAAGACATCTATTATCATGTATGAAGGGATGATAGAAAATACTTCCTTTAATCCTAGAGGCACCCCTTAGTAGCACATACTCAAGCCCTCAGGTACCCCACACCAGCACATCTCACTAGCCCTCAGGGTGGGTGTAGATTTGCCCTGGCCCAAGTCTTTTGTTATTAGAATAGGAGCCATCCCGTGGTTACCAGCCAACATCTAAAAAATAACAGAAGTTCTGAGCTCTCAGAACTAGTGGCTGGGTGGAATATGTTTCCAAAATATTATGCAGGCCCCAACAGAGCACTAACTGGGAATAGTTTACGGCTTTGAAACCTCAAGTCCCACGGTGCTGTGCTTCCTCCAGCAAGGTCACACCTCCTAAACCCCTCCAAAGAATGACACAACTGTAGACCAGGGATTCTAATGCCCAAGTCTGTAGGTAAATCTCACTGAAACCTGCACACTGTAAGGAAGGCTCTCAAATGCCACATGATGTGTGCTGTAGAATGTAGGAACACCAAGTGTGTGGTACAACCTGAAACAGCCCATGGAAGCATCTCAGGACTATGAAAAAGTAAAGCAGTGTCAGCCTCAGGTTTGCATATATCAATGCATGCATGCATAAATTAATGTAAAGCCATCCCAACCAATACTTCCTGAGCACAGAGCCCTGGAGAAGGGTCAGGGAAGCTGCACACAAATGACACGCACCACAGTCCCATCCTCCTAAAAGAAAGTGGTCTACTTTAAGAAATGGGCAAAGAAAAGGAATTAAAAATCAGGAGCTGGCAAGATAGATTAGTTTTAGTAAAGTTGCCTGCCCCATGTGATGTAAAGAGAGACCCAACTTCCTCCATGTCTACTCACTCAATTTAATCACACGCTCATACATAACGTAGACCAGAGCTGGCCTCGAACTCACAGAGATCCGCCTGCCTCTGCTTCCCGAGTGCTGGGATTAAAGGCTTCTCCACCAACACCCGGCTCTCCACCTTCGTTTTGAGACAGGGTCTCTCCCTGAATCTAAATATTAGTCAAGCAGCCGGCAAGTCTACCAGATTTTCCTGTCTATGCCTACCACTCCTACAGCACTAGGGCTAGAGCCATAGAGTATGTCCATGATCTGCTTTTAGGTGGCTGTTGAATCCAAATTCTGATTCTTATGATAGTGCAGCAAAAGCGCTCACACACTGAGCTGCCTCTTCACCCCTCGACCCCTTCTTTTGAGGCATAGGTGTTACCATGTAGTTCTTGCTAGACCTGAACTCACTACATAGAAGAAGCTGGCTTCAAACTCACAGAAATCCATTTGCCTCTTCCTCCCAGCTGCTGGGATTGAAGGCACGCGGAACGACGACCGGTCGTGTTTGTTCTGAAGCAAGGTCTCATTCTAGCCCAAAAGGAACTGTCACTCACTCTGTAGCCCAGGCTGGCCTCGAACTCATCGTCATCCTCCTACTTCAACCTGCCCAATACTGGGATTACAGGCATGAGCCACTACTCCCGGCCCCCAGGCAAGACAAATATTACAGAAGAAAATATAGAAGATTATGTTATGAAACTCAGACGCTAAATTCAACCCCTCGCACTTCGAGTATTTGAAGACCACCCCCAAAGTGGGTAGTGACTGGCCTTTACACGCCGTGACAGTTGTCCGAAGGGCTGGTGGGTCGGTCGGGCCGCAAGGCATGCTGGGCTTCGTAGTCTTTTTTCTGAGACCAATCCCAACGCCTCCTTCCGTGCAGCGTCTTGACGCAGACGGAGGGCGAAGCACATAGCCAATCAGAGGGCTGTAACGTGGCAGCCACCCACAGCCCCGCCCGCGGCGGCGCCTACCACTGGGCTTTGCGGTGCAGGGGGAACGTGGGGCGGTCCGCGCGCTGCGAGGCCTCTGCAGCCCCAGGACTACCCCCGCGCCCGGGCGGCAACGCGCGCACACCGCGTGTCCACACCCTCTTCCGGTCCGGGCTCCCGCGACTGCTTCTTCTTGCTTTCGGTGGATGCTGCGCATCTCGGAGCGCAATATGAAGGTGCTCTTCGCCGCCGCCCTCATCGTGGGCTCCGTCGTCTTCCTTTTGCTGCCGGGACCCTCCGTGGCCAACGATAAGAAGAAGGGACCCAAAGTCACAGTCAAGGTCTGGGCTCTCCTTTCCCGGCGAGGCCTGCCTTCCGCCGCATGCGGTCCGACCCCGGTCCGAACGGGTCTGGCTCAGTAGTTCCGACCTGAGCGTCCTTGTCCTGGTTCAGCTCATGCTTGGGTCGTCTGTGACCTCTTGGAGCCAGGCTCGCTCTACCCACTCAAACTGAGAATGACCCGGACTCCCCCAGCCCCCACCCTGACCCAGGATGCCCGGCTACGGACAGCCTCAGGGAAGTCCTTTTGGACATACCCTGTGGCCACTTCCAGTTTACTGTGCTTTGTAGCACACACAGTAAATGTAGTTAAACTTGGAAGCATAGTGATCTCTTTATGTGTTTTCCCCTTTTAATGTCAGTTTCTGTAATCTGGAGTCGTTGTAAGAGCACGGATTGCTCTTCTATATTCTGAGAAGTTAAATTTTCTTAAGAATGTTACATTATTTATTTGCTGGGGAGGGGGACTCATGCGTGCCATAGTGCTGCTGTAAAGGTCGGAAGACAACTGTTTCCATCATACAGGTCTCAGGACTTCAGGGTTGATTGCAACCATCTGGCCTCCATGTAATCATTTCTTTTGGGGGTGGGGAGTGTAATGCAGCAAGCCAAGTGTGGCATATTCTCTGTAATTCCAGACACTTGGGAGGATTACAGTTATCAAGATCCTGTCTCAGAATATCGATTGCTGGGGTTGTTGGCTCAGTGGTAGAGCACTTGCCTGCCTACAGTGGGAAAGCCCATTTCATCGGTCCCTCATATTGCGTTGGGGAAGTCCACAGTTTTCATTAGTGTACAGATGATAGTGAGCCACCATCTGGATGCTGAGAACGGAAGCTGTGTCCTGGAAAAGCAGCAGATGCTCTTAACAGCTGAGCCATTTGTCCAGCCTATACATTTGTACAGAGGTTTTGCGTCTACCAAAACCAGACTCAGCCACAGCTGGTGGGCACGCGCTCTCTCTCTCATCTAACAAGCACCCTTTAAAAGGCTAAGCTTGTATTGTTCCTTTTCCTTAGGTATTCTTTGATCTTCAAATTGGAGATGAGCCTGTAGGCCGAGTGACCTTTGGACTCTTTGGAAAGACTGTTCCAAAAACAGTGGATAATTTTGTAGCCTTAGCTACAGGAGAGGTAAGTCTCTGGTACAAAGGTGAGCAATTCTGCATATTAGGGATGGAAACAGGTGGGACTGCAGAGTGGCCCATCTGCAGCAGTAGCTTACCCTGACTTCACTAGCTGGCTTCCCTGAGGACCAAATATTTTTGCATATTAAGAACAAAGGGGGGGAGCTGGAGAGATGGCTCAGCGGTTAAGAGCACTGCCTGCTCTTCCAGAGGACCTGAGTTCAATTCCCAGCAACCACATGATGGCTCACAACCATCTGTAATGAGATCTGGTGCTATATGCATACATAATAAAAATTTAAAAAAATAAAAGAACAAAGGGGCTGCGTCAGTGATGGCACACGCCTTTAGTCCCAGCACTCAGGAGGCAGAGGCAGGCAGATCTCTGTGAGTTCGAGGCCAGCCTGGTCTACAGAGTGAGTTCCAAGACAGCCTCCAAAGCTACACAGAGAAACCCTGTCTCAAAAAAACAAAGCAAAACAAAAAGAATAGAGGGGTCCAGTTTGTCCGTAACTTTTGGAGAAAGCCCTGGTACTGCTGAATTACTCAAAGTCTCAGTTGCCCAAATTTTGGCACTACCCTACTGCTTCCTACAACTATTCATAGCAAATACACATGCACAAAAATAAAATCCAAAGAGCTAAAACTGGTAGTTTCACAGTTATGGAAGCTGTGCTAAATGGTTCGGTGACTACTGAGGTGTTGATGTGGTTTTAGGGTGGAAAGAACATAGACAAACATGGCGTTATTGGCCGTGTTTGAAGACTAATCTTTGACATCTGGTTTTATTTCAATGTTCTTCGACCACATGATGTGAATGTAAAAAATAAGAGCTATCAAGTTTTTAAAAAAGAAAAAAGTGCCCAAGGGACTTGATCCTAGAATATGGCGCAGAATTTTAAGGCAATGTATATTCTATTTAATGACATTTATATTTTAACATCTTTTCCCATTTTGCTTTGTTTTCCCAGAGACAGTCTCATGTGTAGCCCCTGGCTGACCTGGAATGTAATGTGTAGCCAGGAGTGATCTTGAGCTTCTGAAACTCCTCCTACCTCCTGAGTGCTGGGATCCCAGGCGTGCACGCCATGCTCAGTTTATCCAGTGCTCAGGGTAGAGCCCAGGAGGGTGTTTGTGCTACTGAGGCATATCCCCAGACCTTGCACTTGCTCTTAGGACAGAACAGAGAGGGAAAAGGCATCGCATGACTTTGGGTTACATCGTTCAGGAATTGCATAAGGGCCGAGGCTAGGGATCTGGTCTTTTCCAGGCATGTATGCTGTGTGTGACCTGCAGTAGCCGGTCACTTGGTACATTAACTGCCAAATCTGTGTCAGAAAGAGCTGTAGGTGAGTTTCTACAGGGCCTGTTGGACACCTACTTGCTGCCTCATGCTACCTCCTTGTCTTCTCATCCCTTTTTCCAGAAAGGATTTGGCTACAAAAACAGCAAGTTTCATCGTGTCATCAAGGACTTCATGATCCAGGGTGGAGACTTCACCAGAGGAGATGGCACAGGAGGTAACTTCAGACCCTCTGAGCAGGAGTCTTGACATCACAGTGTCCAAGGTGGAGTAGTCGGGCTGCCTTGGTTGGTATAGCATCTTTTGCCCACTCTAGCAAATGGCCAGCCTCTCTTGCATCGAGATGCACCCTTCTTTGAAAAGGGATCCCAGTGCAAAGGACGGGGCAGTGGGGATCAGGTAGGCTGTGCTCTCTTCCCTACCATTGATACAAGTCTATAGCTTGTTCCACACATGTTGCCTGTATTGCATATACATGCATAAATAAATAAAAAGGCCAGTAAAAGCCAGCAGTGGTGACACGCACCTTTAGTCCCAGCACTTGGGAGGCAGAGGCAGGAGGATCTCTGTGATTTGGATACCAGCCTGGTTTACAAGAGCTAGTTTCAGGACAGCCTCCAAAGCCACAGAGAAACCCTGTCTCGAAAAACAAAAAAAAAAAAAAATTGCTGGTGAGGTGGGTAAAGGTGCTTGCTGCCAAGCCTGATGACCTGAGTTCTATTCCTGGGTCTCAAATGTTGGAGGAAGAAAACTGACTTCTGCAGGAGTCCTCTGACTACACGCATGCACTGTGGCATGAACATGTGCACCCATATCTACACACAAACTAAAAGTGAAGCACTCAAGGTTGTAGTGGCGTATGCCTGGAACCCCCACACTTAGGAGGTTCCAGGATGACTTCAAGGCAAGCCCAGCCAACAAGAGAACGTGTCTGAAAATCAAACACCAGGGGCTGGGGAGGTGACTCAGTGGTTAAGAGCATTGGCAGCTCTTGCTGGGGGACCTGGGTTTGATTCCTACCCAGTGACTCACAACTGTTTATAATGCCAGTTCCAGGGAATCTGACGGCCTCTCTGGTCTTCTCAGGCACATGTGTGGTACAAAGACCTACATGGAGGCAAAACACTCATACACTTAAAAACAAAAAATGCTGAGTGCGGTGACACACTTTTAATCTCAGCACTTGGAAGGCAGAGACCAGTGGATCTCTGAGTTCCAGGACAGCCACAGAAAAATCCTGTCTCAGGGAAAACAAAAACAGACAACAATTGGTGGGCTTGAAGCTTAGCCATTTGCAAGGCAGCTGGATGGAAGCTCTGTGATAGGAGATTAAATGCCATTTATGTTTAGCATTAAAAAGTTAAAATATAAATGCCTTCAAATTTTTATCTCTTGTGATTTGGGAGCTCCTTGTGTCTTGAGGAAGTGAATGAAACTAAGGAGATACATTAGCTGTTTTTTGTTTGTTTGAGGAGCAATGGAAATCCCATGGTTGACTAAGATTTCCAGGGGGTTTCAGATAGGAAGCCTTAGCAGTGGATGGCCAGGAATCATTGCAGGAAGCAGGCCGCCTCGCTCCCACCTTGCCAGCTAGTCTAATCTTGGTTCCCTGCCTCCCCAGCTGCTGCACAGTCGACCACATCTGTCTTGTCAGTCTGAGGCCAGGGCAGGTCCTCACCAGGGGCACGCTGAGGAGCTGTGGGGTGAGCACAGGTGTGCTGAGAGCAAGGGTTTTCATGCAAGTGAAGTGAATGGCACTGAGACAGAAAAGGTGACTCTTTGTTGAAACTCAGGAGATCTGCCTCCTGAGTGCTGGGGTTACTGTCATCTGTCACACCTGGCCTTTTCTACGCATGCTTATGGGGTTGGCTAGCACATGTCATTTCATGCATGTAACCATCAGGACAGCTATTAGGAGTCGGATTCCCCCTTCCACCCTGTCAGTTCCATGCTTGGCAGTAAGTTCCCCTATGTGCCAAGCTGTCCCACTAACCTGGGAAGGTGCTACAGCATTCGTTTTCCCAGGCCCATTGATGGGGAAACCAACTTTGCAACCAGGATCTTGGAAATGGTATGGAGCTCTGTGCTTACTGTCATGGCCTGGGCCCATACCCCACACAGACAATGACACACATTCATAGGCATTTTTTATTGTATGGTCCTTCCTTGGTAAGAGGTGCTTGGCTCTTAAGAAACCAAGTAACAGTCCTACATCCTTTTTTTTTTTTCCTTCCCCAGCCAATCCCCATCTGCTATTCTGCTCTGCAGATGACTCTAGAAAGGCAATCTGGTTGGCTATAGCATCCCTTTTTCCTGAAGGGTTCCACACTCCCAGCATCCTGCATAGTACCAAGGCATCTCTTTTCCAAAGTCCCTCCCTAGGACACAGCTATGGATAGTTGATGATATGTACCCTGACAATCATAAAACTGCTCTCATAGTAATTCATCCAAGTCAGCCTGGCCTCATACCCCAGGTGGTCTTGGTCCCAATGGCTTGCGTAGAAGATAGGAAGGCTGTTTTTATGTCCTTTGCCAGTCACGCCTGACCTGACAGGATAGTCTGAGCCCTGGAGATCTCACCCAAGCACCTGCATGTTTTGGTTCAACTCCCTGACCCACTGATTCTCTTCCCAGGAAAGAGCATCTATGGTGAGCGCTTCCCAGATGAGAACTTCAAGCTGAAGCACTATGGGCCTGGATGGGTGAGCATGGCCAATGCAGGCAAAGACACCAATGGTTCTCAGTTCTTCATAACTACAGTCAAGACGTCCTGGCTAGATGGCAAACATGTGGTTTTTGGCAAAGTTCTAGAGGGCATGGTAAGTTTAAAAGTGAGGGCTAAACCTTAATAGTCCTTACCGAGGATCTCGCTAGAATAGACAAAGGCTTCAAGTAGGAAGTCTTCTCCTCAAGGGCACCTAAGCCACAGATAGAGACCAGCAGTGGCTCCCCCTAACCTGGCATAGGGTGGGGCGTGTCAAGAACAAACAGCCTGACCGGTGCCTCACATATGCCTATGATGCTAGCTGTTGGAGAGGCTGAGACAAGGATTACTTGAACTCCAGGGCCAGGCTAGACAACATGAGCCCACGTTTCAGGGTGGTCCATGTGACTGAATAGCAGTGCTTAATCTAGCATGCATATGTGTGTTCAATCCCTAACACCACTCAGGAAAAAATAATACATGATAACCAGCCTACATTTCCATGCCCCCAAGGTTCTAAGTCCTCCTAGACAGCCTGCCCAGACTTTGTTCAGCTTTGAGGTCCTCTGTTCGTCACTCACGCCTGAGCAGCATTGGGTCAGCTAAGCATCTGTGCTCCGCATTCACCCTGGCTTTTGGGTCTGTGGGTTTCTGTGTTCATCCCATATGGCTCAGCCACTCACTTGGGGCTGTCTCTTGACCTCCACCCCACCCACCCCCTCCTTTCCTGCCTTTCTTTTCTAGGACGTAGTGAGGAAGGTGGAGAGCACCAAGACAGACAGTCGGGACAAGCCCCTGAAGGATGTGATCATTGCAGACTGTGGCAAGATCGAAGTGGAGAAGCCCTTTGCCATTGCCAAGGAGTAGACTCTCAGGGGCCTCATCCCTCCAAATGGCTGTATGCGCAGGTCCTGTTACTACCCTCACAGGGGTGAAGGTAGCCAGGCACAAGGTTCCGCGCCACCCAGCCCCAGTGCTTCCACCTGAGGGGGTGGACCCACACCCCCTCACATTCCACGGGCCTGGTTTTTCTATCAAACTCCTATCAATGCTGATCAATAAAAAAAAGTGGGTTTTCTTTTTTATAACTTAGGTGCGGACTGAGTTTGAGGGTGTACAAAGCACCTGCCCTGAGTGTTCATCCCAGCATGTCTAGGACTCTTATGCATGCGTGCCCCTTCCTCAGGCTCCTGCCTAAGCCTGTGCTTAGGTGGTACCGACTAGTCGTCAGGCAGAGGCTAACCAGCCACTGCCACACCATAGCTTCTGCCACCTGCCAGGCTGGGCTAGCAGATACACCTGAGTCTTCTCAGCCTAAGACTGAAATTACTTTATGCTGTTTGCTTTATCTTGATTTTGCCTTGACCCCTGGACTTTTAAGTTTTGAGTTCTACCAACCGCAGCTGTTAGTGCAAGCCAAGTTCAGAGCCTTGAGTGGGGTTGGGCACAACTGAGCCTCAGCTAGTTACACCCTGAGGCTAGTCCAGGGGAAGACCCAGTTTCATATATGGAACTCTCAGGACAGGCATGTATCTGTCCTGACAGGTGACCCAAGACTGGGCTAGTCAGGGCATTGGCGATGGAGCAGGATGACAGCCTGCCTTTTGCTGGGCTATGCTGAAGCCATAGAGGCCCTGGAGAACACCGTCCACCACCACTTCTGGGAGAGGTTCTGTACAGGAGAGAAAGGGAAGGAGAGGAAGCTAGCATACAATAGGCCTGGCTGTGGCCTTGTAGCACTGAGCTGTCCACAGGCTCAGCTCTCTACACAAAAGGAGGCACTCGTGGGTTTCCCAAGCCCACATTCTGTTGATTAACTTTTTTCCAAGCCCACAATCTGCTGATCTCAACTTTGGGGCACAGAGACCAGGTGAACCAACTGTGTGCACAAGTTTCTATCAAGTAAGCTACGAAGCAGCGTGGCCCCAAAGGACAGCAGGGGAAGGTGCTGATGTGAACTTGGATCGGAGGCATGTCTCACCTGGGGAAGGGGCGTAAACGTAGGGGTCCATACAGAAGCCAACGACGGGCCGGTGGTGCAGCTGTGCGCTGTAGGATGAAAGAGTGAACCGTGAGTGGAGATGTGACAAACACACTAAGGACCAAGATCAGCAGGGGCCCACAAAGGAAAGGAAGGAACTAAAAGGCAGGTTGCTGGCCTGCCTCCTAGCGTGTAGCCACCAGGGGGCAGCAGGCACTTAGAGCAGGACTTGGACTTGCCTGGTGTCACTAGGCAGGAATTCCCTCAGGGTGCTGAAAAGCAGAGAAACATTGTGAGCTGCTGGAGGATACCCAGGGGAAGTGGGGAGGGGATGGAGACAGAATAGCCCAGGGGACTGTTGCTTCTATTTTGTAACAAGCCCAGTTCCGGAGCTGGAGGCGGCTGGGGTAATCAAAGCTGTCTAAAACCTAGCCCTCCACCAGGGTCAAGAAAGTTGGTGAGGGAGGCCGTGTGTCAGAGAACCAGGCCAGGGTCACACTTGAAAATGGAGAGTCTGTCCTTCAGGACCCTTATACAGCTGTTTGCTGCTAAGAGCCCTTGCCACACCCTGGCAAAAGCTATCCTTGCCTCCAGCTGCTGGCCTTGGAGTCTGTGGGGAAGTGGCGAAGTCTGAGGAACTCCAATAACTCCTTGGGTACCTCCTGGTTCAGGTACAGGATGCCCTAGAGAGGAAGACAGGAAGCCTGTAATCAGATACAGCTACTGATACATAACCCGTTGCAAACAGATTTGAGTACCTTTGCCGCAAAATAATTAGGAATTCATTTTGAAGCCGGGGAAGCAAGTATTAAACCAAGCTCGGGGCCATTCTGAACAATCCAGTATGGACCGAAAAGACACTGGCCCCATAAAGTGGGCAGGCTAGTCCAATAACGTATGTCACTGTGGGAGGAATGATTCCACACACACCTCATGAAGATAACACAGAATCTTACCCTAGGGGTGAAGAGTCATGCCGGATCTACCTGTTGGGTTATTCAAAACTTTCAATAATTCAGATAGAAAAGTTTGTACTCGCTACTGTTTGGGAAAATAGGACTTGGGGTGATGGCTGACAATCTCAAGCAGTGGGCCCTCATCTCTATCTGGGTCGCCCCTGGTCCCTGAGGGTAGGGGCAGTCAAGTGTTCTGTGCACACCTGGATATAGGTCTCCAAGCCCTGCCGGCGCTGTTCCAATCCTCTGCTCCTCCAGTTGGGCAGGCGTTTTGAGGGAAAGTCAGGCACTTTGTATCGTTTCTTGATCTGTCATCAGTTACCGAGGTGAAATCCCAGCAAAGCCCTCAAGCCCATTCCACCTAGCTGAGACCTCTCTGCAGTCCTCCCTCTATGCCTTAAGCTCTAACCTGGGACTGCTGGTGAGAGGTGGTTGGGACAAAAGTGACAAGCCTGAGAATGGAAAGAACTCACTTGGACAAGATCAGTCTGGACTGGGATTTAGCTCTGCGTCCTCCCCGTTGGGGCCCTGTAACCCTTTGGGGAGTTGCCCGTGATCTGCACCCTCCCAGGGTTGGGTCAGTAATGAGGGTGGCCAGAAGCTGGGACCGGAGCCCTTTCGCCTGCCACCCAGGGGAGTGGCCCAGAGCCAGACTGGTGGATAGTCTGACGCCTCACCCGCTTGTGTAGAGCGTGGAACTCGCTGTAGCGCCTCGGCACGGTGTGTCTGCGTCCGCTGTACAGCACCTCCACTTGGAACACCTAGCGGGCGGAGGAGTGCGGGCGGCGGGTCCAAATGATGCAGCAGGACCCGCGCTGCGCCCAATTTCTGGTGTTCGAAAGGCACAAAGACGACTTGGCGTGCGGCCGCTCAGGGAAACCCCTCGCGCACCCCACATACACCTGAAAGAAAAGGCTGCCGGGCCCGCCCCTCTGCTCCACACGATCCCTCAAGAGCCCAGAACATCATCCGAGGGACTGGCAAGGCCAATAACCCCAAACCTTTGCGATGGACGTCCTAGCCCGGAATGCTGAGTCCCTTTTGCGCTCGTCGAGGGGATTCAGGGGAACCCCATGCGCACCCTCCATCCATTGCTCACCATGTGGCCTTTCTCTGGACTCTGCCTGGGCTCTTCGGCCTCGGGCCCCACCGAGGGGATGTGAACTTCCAGCATCCGCGCTCTGACCCAGCCGCAGCCTCTCCTTGATTGCGCGCTAAGGCACCCGAACTCCTTAGAGCGGGCAGGCCGCCCTATGAGGCCACCCCGCCCTCGGGCTCCAGGTCCTGCCCCGGCCGTAGGCCCCGCCCCATTCTCTGGTCCTTCAAGCCTAGGCTCCACCCTCTGGTCCAGGACCCCGCCCTCGAATCCCTGGCTCGCCCCACCCGAGGCGTTCCCTGCTGCACTCGAGTCTTGAGGCGAAAAGATAATAACCTTGGTCTAGTGAGGTCGCTAGCTGTGCCAGGGGGAGGAACTTTCGGCAGAGTCACCCGTTTGTCAAATGTTTCCCTAGAGTCTACTGCCTGCCAGGTACGCAGCCGAGCTAAAATTTCACTTGATCTTTGTTGAATGCCCTAGATTCTGAAGTGGCAGATGAGGGCGCAGACAGGGATTCAGGCCTAGGACCACCCTTACTCTTAGGGAACTCGGCCATGCCATCTTTCCCCTCTTTCAGGTGGTCCCTAGTAGTGCAGCCTAGAGACTCCAACTGAGACAGTGCCTGGTGAGGCTGGGATCTATCTTAGCTTTGATGGGCACCGACAGACCCTTCGTTTATTTGTTCTTTCTATCCACCCACCCATCCACCCATCCACCCATCCATCCATCCATCCACTCACCCACCCACCCACTCACCCATCCATCCATCCACCCACCCACCCACCCATCCATCCATCCATCCATCCTACCTTAGCATCCCTAACTTGCTTCAAGCTAGTGTGGGGGGAGAGGCAGTTTAAAAACCCAGACTCAACCTGGTGGTGGTGGTGCATGCCTTTAGTCCCAGCACTTAGGAGGCAGAGGCAGGTGAATTTCCATGGGTTCAAGACTAGCCTGTTCTATGAGAGTGAGTTCCAGGACTGTTACACAGAGAAACCCTGTCTCAAAACCAAAACCAACCAACAAAACAAACAAAAGCCAGGGTGATTCCAAGGCCAGCCTGGTTTAGAGAGCTAGTTCTAAGACAGACAGGGCCAAACCCTAACCAAACAAACAAAAATCCTACTACATTCCAAGACAGACCATCAGGTCGGTAAGAGCAGCCTGGTGTCACCTCCATGAACTCTCTCGGGTCCTCTTCCTTATACCCTGACCTATATCTACCTTTTACATCCATCCATCCATCCCTGCCCACCCATCTCAGTAGAACAAGCACCTAAGGAAGCTACCATTTTTGTTTTTTGAGACAAGGTCAGCTGAGTTTCTCAAGCTGGCTTTGAACTCCTTGTCTTAAACAATTCTCTTGCTTCAGCTTAACAATTACCAGGAACCACAGGCCCATCCCACCCCACCTGGCCTCACTCAGTTTTACACTTAACTGTCAACCTGTTTTGCGGATATGCAAAAAGTCCACACAGGCCTGATATCCAGGCCCTGTGACTTTCAAAACTGATCCTGGGTTGGGCTTTTTGTTTGTTTGTTTGTTTGTTTGTTTGTTTTTCTGAAACAGGGTTTTTCTGTGTAGCCCTGGCTGTCCTAGAACTTGCTCTCTGGACCAAGCTGGTCTAGAACTCAGAGATCTGCCTGCCTCTGCCTCCTGAGTGCTGGGACTAAAGGAGTGCATCACTACCCAGCTATAGTAGGATATTAATACAAAACTCTCACTCAACCCGTAACCCCCACTCAGCTCTAAGGGAGCTGCTACCATACAGGGCACAATGGCACGTATTCTGTTGTTAAACTGGGTTGTGAGTGGTGTCTGTTCTTAGTTGTCATCATGCTGGAATGAACTAAAAGCCCAAGCAACTGGACACACCTGTGCAGGATTTTTAGTTACTGTCTGATGTAAAGGGCATGGAAGAAGGAAGCTTTTTCTGTTCGCTTGCTTGTCCTCTTTCTCAGGAATCCTGCTGCACAGGCACTCCTTCACCGGCATTAGAGCCGACTTCGGGATCCTGACGTATACTGAAGACCAGCTTAGACATCCAGCATCATGGACTGAACAACTATTGGACTCTTGAACTTTGTTAGAAGACAGTCATTGTTGTACCAGATAGGCCACAGCCTGTAAGCCATTCTAATAAATCACACACACACACACACACACACACACACACACACACACACACATGAGTGCGCACAAGGCAGGGAAGCCTGTTGGTCCTGGTCCTCTAGAAAACCCTGACTAATTCATTTGTGTAACTGGATGTGGCTGTCTTGAAACTTCAGCAGCAATAGAAAGTTTCTGAATATATGCAACAACTAAAAATTAATTCAAACTCCAATACCTCTAAGGTGTGTCTGGCAGCCCATGCCATGTTGCACCTTGAAATGTCACTTCAGGCCGGGCGTTGGTGGCGCACGCCTTTAATCCCAGCGCTCGGGAGGCAGAGGCAGGCGGATCTCTGTGAGTTCGAGACCAGCCTGGACTACCAAGCGAGTTCCAGGACAGCCTCCAAAGCCACAGAGAAACCCTGTCTTGAAAAACCAAAAAAAAAAAAAAAAAAAAGAAATGTCACTTCAGCCTTGGCTGTGAGCATGCAGCATGTACACTGTGCACGCTGTCACACCATGCACTGCCAATGAACGTTACCTGAAACACTTCAGCTGTAACTTGACATTATTGTTTACTAATGAACTGCTGTGTTTTTAATGTACAAAGTTTTCTAAAACATAGTAATTTGATTCAGAAAACAAAGACTTAGTATTTCTCTATGGCATTCTTACATGCAGTGTGTAAGTATGTTGTCTGCTCTTTGCTTGAGTCGTCAGGGAAGAGGAACCTTACTTGATAAACGGCTGCCATCAGATTGATCTGTAGACACGTCTGCATTTCCTTGATTAATGATTTAAGTAGGAGGACCCAGCCCACTCTGGAGGGTGTCACCCTTGGACAGTGGTCAGGGGTGATATAAGAAAGCTGACTGGCTGTGCAGTGCTAGCACAAGCCTTAATCCCAGCACTCAAGAGGCAGAAGCAGACAGACCTCTAAGTTCAAGGCCAGCCTGGTCTACAGAGCCAGTTCCAGGACAGCCAGAGTTACACAGAGAAACAAGAAAGCAGACTGATAGCTGGATGTGATAGCCCACACCTTTAACCCCAGCATTTCGGAGGCAGATGCAGCCTAATTTATATAGTCAATTCTAGGACAGCCAAGGCTACATAGAGAGATCCTGTCTCAAAACAAAACAAGCAAACAAAAACAAGAAAAGAAGAAAGCTTGAGGCTGGCCTGGTCTACAGAGTCAGTAAATAGTGTTCCTCCATGGCCTCTGCATTAGCTCCTCCCTCCAAAAGTGAGTTTGAGGCCAGCCTGGTCTACATGAGAAGTTCCAGGACAGCCAGGGATACACAGAGGGACCTTTTCTGAAAAACAAATGAAAGATTTGCATAAGAGTTTTACAAAGTTGGGAATATTTATGGGATATTTGCCCTCAGCATGCTTAGCTACCTTTGATGGAAGAAAATTGTTCTCACATAGGTCTACCTGGTCTACATAGTCAGATAAGATTACTTAATGAGACTCTGTCCCCAAATGAAAACATTAATTAATTTTGTCTTGGGATTAGGACAGAATTTACAACAGTTTTTGAAATGTCCCCAAACACATCACACACTTGGTGTGTGAAATGATTCTCACACCATTGACGATTTTAAACTCGAAATACACATCAACTCTGACAAACATTGGTGATGCTTCATGTCCTACACCATCAAATACCCAGCAAGAGTTTTTTTTTCTGTAGAAATAAGCAAGCACATCCATCCTTTTGCTGTGCAAACTTGCTTTCCTCTTTAGTAAGTAGTAAAATTATTGTGTATACCAAGGAATCCTTCTGCACTGACTTCACACAATCGAAGGCCCTGTGAAATAAGGTGAGAAGCCTTGCCTTTCCAGGCTCATACCTGGGAGGAGGTGTTCGGGTAGGGCCAGGAGCAGAGCATCTGTCTTAAGGGCTGAGGTTAGGAGACACCTTTCTCCTGCCAGTGCAGACGTGTTGCACTGAGCAGAGATCTCGCCAACACTGAGTCCTACATTCTCTTTCTCCAATTTCAATGTACCAAGGCCCAGGAATCAGGAAGCTGAAACTTCCCAGATAGAGGTGGAGGTGGGGTCTCTGGAAGGGAAATGACCCACATGGAGGAGAAGTGCTGTGGTTTCATTTCCTCTGTGGGATGTTGGTATCTGAAGTGAACAAAGGGGCACTAAGTCCCTTTTACCTACATGGCGTCCCAGTGTGCACAGCATTATCCTGCTGGCCTCTGTTTCCTGTCTCTCTCCTGGGTGTAAGGCCTATTCTCTACCTCAAATACAAGCTGAGATCAGAGCACGTGCTTCCCTCATAGCGTTCCACTTGGATTTGAGACCCCCACTGCCTGCGATAGTCTACGATGGCTCGAGCTCAACCCTCACCCCTACCTCACTTTCACTCTTTCCTGTCATGTACCAGGCTCTGGTCACGGGAATCTCCCAGTTCTTCAAACTTCCTCATTCTTCCTACCTAGAACACACTTTCTCTCGACTCCTCTGGTGAGACTTCCCTTCCACATCACTCTGTATACAGTTAGTCCAGTTTGTAATCGCTGTGTATCTCTAGCATAGATGAGAGAGAAGGATGAGACACTTTTCCCTCACCACTGTCTTGGCTAGGTTGTGTTTGTCTGGCTTGGTCTGGTTTGGCTTTTTTGAGGCAGGATTTCTCTGTGTAACTTTGACTGTCCTGGACTCATTTTATAGACCAGGCTGGCCTCAAACTCACAGAGATCTGCCTGCCTCTGCCTCCCGAATGCTGGGATTAAAAGGCATTTGGCTAGCTTTTATGTCAGGTTGACGCATGAGTCATATAAGAGAGGAGTGAGCATAAATTAAGAAAATGCATTCAGCCAGGCCGTCTATGGTCAGGTGGTCCTGGGTTCTATAGGAAAATAGGCAGAAGCCTTTGATCCCAGCACTCAAGAGGCAGAGAGAGGCAGATCTCTGAGTTCAAGGTCAGCTTGGTCTGCAGAATTAGTTCTAGGACAGCTGAGGCTACATACACAAAGGAAAACCCTGTCTCAAAAAGCAAAATCCAAACCAAAGCAAAGCAGGCAGAGCAAGCCAGAGGAGCAAGCCCAGAAGCAGCACTT